GGGGAGGGACCTTTGTGGGAGAAACCCCCCGGAAGGTCAGCTTTGGGCATGGGGGGGGGGGGGGGGGGTTTGTCTTACATCATCGTAGCCCCCCAAGACTCTATAGACGTCATCCCCGAAAAGAGGGGACGGGGCACGTCATCTGTCTTTGTGGAGGTATCCTATGTGGCACGACTAAGACGAGTTCTTAACATGTAGGCAAGAGGGCTCGCGGAGCCACAATATGGACGTACTGCTAACTCCACCCCCACCCCCATTTTTTCGGGCGCTTAACCCAGTTTGTTCAAGGCGCTTATTGTATAGGATTTAGTATAGTATAGGAAAGTCTATTTATTCCTTGTTGTATTGGCTTTAGTATCATAGTGTAAAACCAAATGGTGCAGTAGTATATAGTGGGCCCTCAGTGTAGTGCCGGTCCGTATGTATGCATACAATATGTGCCCAGAGAGAGGTTTTACCGGCACTTTACCGGGCCACCGGCACTATTCAGAACAGGGATATGTACTAAAGGTGGTGGACACTCATCATCATATGTCCTGAAATCAAATCTCGAGATCTCATCGGCACTGCTCGAGGCATTCTCTATTCAACCGTCATCACTATATATACAGGGCCCACTACTATAATATACTACTACGCTGTGGTGTACTTTAGTTAAGTATGCCTATATCCATACCCATACTAAATCCTATACAATAGACGATGTATAGGTTATACTATACCATGCCAAATCCTAGTTGAACACCGTATACGGTAGATAACAGCCCTCCCCCACCCCCCCACCCCCGGATCTGGTCCTTAGTGCAGTTTGTGGCAGTACTTCCATAATTTGGCTCCGCAAGCCCTCTTGATGTAGGGAGTACGCAAACTCTCGGTGTGCTGCAACAATCCATGTACATACCTGACTCCGAGGTTGTCTCCTCGCCCGGCTGCCGCCCCTGGAACCGCCCGCTTCGGGTCTCAGCGAACCCCCGCCCTGAGCAGCCAGACCAAGTCTTACAATCTGCGGAAGAAACAGCGAAAGCGAAGTGATTTGCCGAACAGGAGTCCGAGGAGAGCGAGAGGGATGGTCGATGCGCACAAGGTGTTGCCAACAGGGACAACATCAACAACAACATTATCAACATCGTCAACATCAACAACAACAACAACAACAACAACAACAACAACAACGACAACGGCAGCGACAGCGACAGCGACAGCGACAGCGACAGCGACAGCGTTGAAATAATCAATAGCAACAGGTTCAGTGTTTGGCATTTACCTCTTGTCGAATCTTCCTGTCCTCGTGTAGGCGAAGCACCATCTCCTCCTTGCGCGCCCTCTCCAGAGCCAAGGCGCGCTTCTTCTGCACGCGCTCTCGCATGTCTCGCTCCTGTTGGTGTTGTCGTGATTTCATGGTTGTCGTTGTTGCTGTAGTTGTTTCCGCCTTTTTGCTACTACTGTTGATAGTGCTGTTGACACGAACAGCGAGGCTTTTGTTTGGGGGGCGGAACCCCAGACCTGTAATGCACACATTTGCTTGTCATTGTACAGCTGTAGTAAGGACCTACCCCCCATGCAGTGGCATTCGACTCTCCAATGGTAACGTAGGGGTATTGCATTTGGGCGTGAGTGGCTTTGATTTTGTGGCCCAGTCTTGTATGCAGATGCTTTGCGTGGATCATAATCGTGTGGGCTAAATCTGTTGCTCGTAGGCTTCCGCGGGAGACGGCGGCACCGCTCCCCCCCCCCCCCGGAGTATCACCAGCAATTTCACGTTCCGATGGATGTCGCCACAGGCGTGACAAGAACAGCAACAACCCTGTGTGATTCCTTTCACCAGTTCTCTGTTGTCCGTACCATGTCCTTAAGAATGCACCCATTTTCGATACATGTCGCCATACGCATGGCAAAATGAACATCCCCTCTCTGTGATTCCCTTTCACCGGTGCTCTGTTGTTCGTCTCATGTCTTTGAGGACGTCCCACCATCACCCCCAACAAACCTCCTTCTGCCGCCAGTACTCTATCCGCTCCGCCTGCTTGAACTCCTGCTCGATGATGTGCAGCTTGCCCTTCTGCTTCTGGAAGTCGATCACACGTCCGTTTCGATCTATCTGTGTTTCGTCCGTTTTTTCACGAGTGCGTCGGGGGGGAAATCGTGATCACACCAAGCATGCTAGAGGCAGACGTCGTATCATGGGTTAGCCGCTTGACGCAGTCGGCACCAAAACTTTCACTCACAGAGCCGTGGATGAATGGTGCTACCGACCGAAGGCCGTGTGTCTTTGTGGGGGGGAACAGCCAGCCCGGCAAGGCACAAAGTCATCACAAGAGCATGGCTTGTTTATGACACCCTACTTACCTATTTCTTGTGTGTTTCGGGTAGTGTGTTTCAACTGAGCCGAAAACACCTTAACAGCGAAGTGTTAACAGAGCTCTACAGATGCAAATCCACACAGTCGGCGAAGGATTGTTGCGAATTGTCGACTCTGCTGAGCAGATATCACACACAAACAAGGTCATTTCCTTCATTGGCAGCGAAGACAGGAACACGCCCCATGTGAAACCAAATGATACAAACATAGAAAAAGTAAGACACTAGAAGCGGACACATGCGAACAAGCAACCCCAACAATCAACCAAGCCGATATGCTCCCTGCACGGGGTTTAATCATGTGTATGAATCGACACAAGAGGACGCAGAGGTGGATGGATACGTACCTTCGAAAGAGTCACCGTGGATACAACCGGCAATCATCGTAGCATTCTACCCCCCCGTACCTGTCCGGTCCTCAGGAGATGCGCCTGCACCGAAGGGGTTTCGAAAAAATGGCGCATGTTTGGGTCGAACAGGGCGTTGTACTCCTTGATCCTCGTGTTATCCCTGGTGCTGTCCCAACCCTCCTCCCGGGATTTGGCTCGCTCCTGCGCCGCCCTAGGAATTGGTTTTTTGGTGTTGATTCTCGCGTTAGCTTGGCTTGTCCGGTGTCGTTGTCGTCGTCGTCGTACCGTTGTTGTTGTTGTTGTTGTTGTTTGTGCGTCATGTTAGCTAGACTTGTGCGTCGAAGAAATGGCTTTTAGAACCAGCTTTGCAAAGAACCGGAATATTGAGTCTACCAGAACGACGGACACGGTGATGTTGATGAGGTGGCATGGGAGAGCTTCGTGTAATAATTGACACGTTAGCATGCAAAGGACCAAGAAAACAGTTTTAATGTTGAATGTAGATGTTCTAGATGAAGAAGTTACTCAATCGTGGAGCACTGATACCCACGTTTGTTCAACGCCGTCGCTCGCATTTTCTACTTCCCACATGATCTTGGTTCCTACAACCAAAGAGCAATTGTCCAGAAAACCATACGGACGATTCCTTGCGGTGTATGCCATCAGCGCTACCGCGAGAAGGATTCAGCCATGTCATCCTTCCCCCGTCAGCGACGAAGTTTGACTTGTGCCGTCACGAAGTAACATGTCCTACATGTAAGCAGCGTCATGCCGCGACTTGAATCCAGAGCTTTGACCATCCCAATCATTTGAAGGGGTGTACTTTCTTTCAGATGACAGGGATGCGCAGAGGCCGCATATATGTACAACGGGCGATTCCCTTGAATTGCGCGCCATCGGACCCGGTAGTTGTTTCACAAGCTATGCAAATAGATGCCATCAACCGGTGATAGTGGCCATGAGAACCAGAAGAGGAACAACCGTGTGGTAACATTACTGTGTATGCTCTTGGCAAAGCTGTCTTGAGGTTCATGTTCTTTTGTCAGTCTTGCATCGTTCCTCATTGCGTGTAGACTACGGTAGTGCTCCAGCCATTGTGGCTGCGCCGATGGGCTGACGCATCCAGTATTTTGTGGCTACAGCATGAAGAGGTTCACACACTCAGAGAACGAACGATGCAAGGAAACAATCCACGTACATACCTGTGTCGACGGAATTCACGTGGTTCGCAACCCGTCACATTGTTGTGCTTCGTTCTGAGGCCTCTGTACTAAAGTAGTCGAGGTTACGATTGTGTTGGAAATTAGCAATCTGCCTCCACCCCCGAGCCCTCAAAAAGTGGAGATCACAATGAGCTGGGATCAACATACATGTTCTGCTTGTTGGTGAATCGGTCAACAGAAAACCTCCGTCTTTGTATGGAGGTCTAAATAGTGGCATCTTTCGGTCTGACCGGACATTGAACGGTGCGTACTTGTACCTTCGCACCTTGGAATGAGTCACGCACCCGCGAACCATCCAACCCACCCTAACCCTATCCCTTGTCCCTAACCCTCAAGCACATCCAACTGAGGGCCTATTGGTCGAAAACTGGGCAAGAACGCGGGGTGAGAGAGGGCGCTGCAGAGAGTAAAAGAACGCCCGACCAATCCGATGTGTATACATGGCCTGAGACAGGAAGAGTCATCAACAGAACGTACAACCTGTACCAGTGGCAGTACTACAGTTGTACAGCGTACGAGTATTCTACTGGACACTACCGTATTGGGTTACAACGCTTGATTGCTTCCCTCTTTGCTCTATCTTAGAAATGCGACCGACCTGTAGTTTGAGTTTTGAGCACTGCAGCCATGTCCTGCTGCGTAGATGGTTCGTTGTTGGCCAACGTGGATGGATGACAGGAATGTACATGGCACCGCCTCAGTGTACTGGTACATGGATAGTTGGCATCGGTACCACGTGCAAACTCGGCACACACACCCATCAGCGAGCATACAGACAGGTGCTCCCTGTCACACTCACCTCCGCTGTCGACTCTTCATGCCGACCAGGAAACTCAAGAAAACAGCAAGACGGGAACGATAATGCGTCAGAAGTCGTTGAGAGAGAGGGGCGGCGCTTCGACGACCCGCGCCCGATCAGGGCACACCGTCCGTGTCTCCGTGTCGCCTTGTGCGCATGCTGCACAGTGATGCGATGTGTTTGTAACCGCCGAACCGCTTGAACCGGCACCACGCACAGGTTGACCAAAAAACTTGTACATGCACGCCGCTTATCCCGCTGAATACGGATGTGTCCCTGCAATGTTTTTACTGCTCTCCTACCTCCTACACCTGGAGAACTCCTCGATGAGGAGACGAGGGAAGCACACAACAAAGGTGCATTCGCTCTCCGTAGCTTCGCAAAAACGCCTCCAGAACCTGTTGAAACTTCTCGATTTAATCCTCTCTGCGTACCCCCCGGCCAACGCTTCACCTCTCAACTTGCCACAGCCCGCGTGCTGCCTGCGTTGCCGTGTAGACCAGGCCCCTGCATCACCCCAAAGTCTCGGAGCGACGCTGGTGGCGAAACACGAGAGTGCTTTGCAGCACAGCACAAGTGCAGGAGGCGAAAGGCCTTTCGAGCACACGACAAAACAAGCGAGTTGGCAGCGTCAAGCCACACGCGCCGTTTCGGCTGGCCAACGTCAACACCGCCGTCCAACGCATCACACCTCGAGAGGTGCTGAGGGAGGGACAAAAGAGGGTTGAGAAGGCGGCTTCTGCTGCTGCGTGGGAGGGCTTTGGTCGGTTGCTTGCTGATGGCGCGGCAGCAGCATGGCCAACCGCGCGCAGCAGCGTCGTCGCCAGCAGGGACGTCAACCACCGGTGCTGCCGCTGCAACGGTCGCCGTGATGCGGGCCGCTGCCGCTGCCGTGGCTGTAGCCACGTGGGTCCCGGCAGCCGCTGTCGCAGAAGCAGCGGCGGCGGCAGCAGCACCGACGGGGGTGGGACGGGTACCGCCAATCGCGGCCGCTGGCTGCCCCAACGGTGGTGGTGCTGCTGCTGCTACCTCCGGTCCCTCGCTGGGCTTCCAGCTGTCATGTGCGAGAGCACCAACGCCGCTTGAAGACGTCTCTCGTGAATCATCTCCTTCGCGGCAGGGTGGCGCCGGCTCTAGAGATAGGGATAAGGTGGGATGGCGTTTCCATCTGTAAGCTTGCCAAGAACGCAGAATCACCTGCACTGGGGTATGTCAGTGCGGAAGCTCTGTTGGTGGTGTCCGCGTGTCGTTACCCTCAGTCTTGAAGCATGCGTCTACAGCAGTGAAGTTAATACTGGAGTACACAAGATGCCGAACTTAATAGTTGTGTTCCAAGCGTAGCACCGCTGTCAAAGAGTAGTTGATGCAAATGCATCGCGTGGAACTGCGTTATATGAGACCACGTCGACTTGCCCCTTCAGCAGTAAACTACGCCCCGTGTTTTGGTCTACAGTGGTGTTGTGCAAGTGATTTGTTGGTGCAGCTGGTGGTTCCTTTGCGCTGATAGGGTTGGCCGAGACAAAGTTAGGCATACAGCTTCCAACAAACCCACACCCGTACCATAGGACAACCTTGCACGTACACCTTCGGTCCCCACGTAGACCCCCCCCCTCCGCCTATCCACAGCCATGTCCCGCCGCCTCCACATTGTCCATCAACACGATCCTCACTATATTTGAATCTCGCACCTCATGACCTCCCTACCCATCTTGCAGCACGGTCACCCCCTGGCCTTGGCCCTCCACGCCGATAGCGAAAACAACAGTAGACGAAGAAGGCTCAAGGCTCCCACGGCCTCAGGAGGACTGGCGTTCGCCCCTCCTCCCGCTCTTCCGGCGGCGGCGGCGGCGGCGGCGGCGAAGCGGGCGACGCCTCCTTCATGCTCGTTGCGTCGGCGGCGAAGACCGGCGGGAGCAAATCTCCCCGAGACCTCTACGTCAAGCTTCCTCGGCCAGTCCTCTGTACAGACCTCGGCTCGACGGCGGCGGCGGCGGCGGCAGCCGGGATCGGGGGGTTGCTGCGTGCACACGGCGTCTCCGCAGTCCACTTCCCCGGTTCTCCAGCTAAACACGCCTCTGACCCGAACTCCCGCTAGAGGCGCTCGGCTGCTGTTGTCTTCCTTGTGCCCAACCGGAGGTCGGGTGTTGTCGGCGGCCGGAAGCGGACAGGGGGGAGTTACGGCGACGATGGCGGTGGCGGGGGGGCGGCGCGAAACGACGGCGGGGACAGGGGCACGGGGAGTGGGGGGGGCACGCGGAGGTTTATCCTCGTCGCCGGTTGGCAGGAGACCGAGTGTTGTTGTCGGCGGCAGAATCAGCGTTAGCCGGCTGGGGGCGGCCGGCAGCAGAGAGGGTGGCGGCATCGGTGCCGGCATCGGTGCCGGCAACGCCAACACTGGCAGCGAAACCAGAAACAAGGACAGCAGCAGCAGCAGGAGGAGGAGTCTAGGCAAAGGGTTGGAGGGGATCCGACCCTCCGACACCGCCGCCGCCACTTCAGCCGTCAACGGCAGCGGTAGGCAGAGCCCTACCGCAGGATCGACTGCCGGCAAGGGTGCTTGGACCGGCCGGGCAAAGTTTGCTGGCCGCGGAGGGGCGGGGGGAAGAGGAGGCATTCGAAGCGGGGGGGTCATGGCCCAGGAGCTGCGGCCTCTGCTGGACATGCTGGACGATGCAAGGGGGCACCGGGCGACGGGTGCCGCAGCTATGAAGGTGCCAGAAAGTGTTTTTTTTTTCACTTCACTGCATGTTATTTTGGCCCCAGTAAGAGGCCGCGGTTGACGACACGGGTAAACGGCCCAACAGACCATAACGTTTTGGCTCCCTCCGGTAGTCAGATGCTAGGTATGGGGGGGTAATGAGCCGCGTGGTGCGACTCAATACCTTGCTGTAGTCGTATCTGCGATGCTGATGGTGCACGAATCCCGACACACACCAGCGTGAATCGTTCGTGGTCCAGCTATACGCGTGCACCACAGAGGGACAGCAGGCGTGCGACGGGAGCGACGATGATTGTATGTGCGGCCACCGTTCAAAATATTATTGCACTTTATGCATACATCATGCGGTTGTTTCTTTCCGTTTTGATGCACATGCACGAAGAAACAAAATGTGAAGTCTTCCCGCTGTGCGGACGCAAACATGCACATCTGGGCATCTGGAAGAAGCACACATACATACGGCATCCCCCTGGCGGCGAGCGTATCACACATCACACCGTCGAGGAGCACGACCAGCAGCGTAGACATAGGATTGTGACGCGACAGATGGCAAATATTGCGTCAGGCTCACAGCTTGCCCGCCACATTCGTCTCAAGCCTTCCGAGTTTCCCGCCCAAGTGAAAGCAAGCAGTCCAGCATGAACCAAAAACAACAAAAAGCCGTTAATGGTCATGTGACGTTATGACTTTGATGCGAGAGGCCGAGAGGCTCTGCTGCAGCCCTGCAGCAGCAACAACAGCATGCAGGGCACGGCTTTCTTTGCGAAGACAGTCAGTAGCGCGGCGCAAGTACGCAATCTGAAACGATCCCGCGGGGAACCATCCTGATAACGAACAGCAGCAGCAATAGTAGACCCTCACGCCCTCGACGGATTCTCTCGATGATGGTAGGGGTGATCTGGACTTGGGAAGGTGTGTTATTTGTGTGATCATCGGTGCTCTAATTGAAGCAGTTGGTTGGACCCACTCAACATCAATAAACACCCGCCACGTTACACATGGCGCATGCCTACAGCAGTATACCTACGGTGCACAGGTCGTATAGGCCCGGCCCCTCCTGGTTTTCATGGCTGGTCTCAGACCAGCGTCTCAGCGGTGATGCGTTTGTTGGTGGTGTTCTTGCGTCTCTGTCGGTGTTTCTTGTCCTGGTCTGAATCGCGCGCGCGCGTGATCTCCGCTTTTGTGCATGCCTTTTCGCGTAGAAACCCCGTGGTTGGGGAGCAAACTCTCCTACGAATATAGGCTGCATATGCCGGTGAAGCACGGCCATCTGCTCTCGGAGCACGACGAAACCAGTGTGGACAAGAACGCGCTATTTTTCTTCTTCCTCAGAAGCGAGCAGATCGTCAATCGGTGTTCTATAGATGTCGCTCTGGTCCCAAGGGTGTGCTAAATAGGCTTCCCGGAAACCAAGTTTTGGGGCCCCTGTATCGCGCGGCGCAACTTTGGCCGATGTATGTATAAAGCCTTTTCTTCCCTCCTGGGGACGAAGGGAAAAAATGTCGCTCGCTTCGCTTGTTCCGCGGCTCATTATGAACCTCCAACCAATGTGAACGGAAGGAAAGGAAAACATGGTTAAAGTAAATGCACATGTGGAACGTTAATGATACGAACCCGGATTTTGGTTGATGCTTAAGTTGGAGAAAAATGTTGTTCCAAGTAAACCGGACAACATTCAAGCCAGGCTTTCAATGTCTTGGATTTACAGAAACTTTTCACCCGCCCTTTTCCTTCCATTTTCCTCACCGCTTCCCCCAAGGTATTGGACGCAGCTGCCAAGGCTGGATGGGAAAAGATAAGGTTCTCCGCGCTACGAATGGGAAAGGTAACGCGAAATTTGCTTTCGTAGACTCTCATCACTTGATGAAGGTACAGACGAGCTTTATCTCTCTGGCTGAGAAGAAGAAATGACCGGGCTAGTGTATTTGATAGCCGCACTTTTGTGCGGCAGCGGAAAATGGTCCAACCCTTGTGTTACCAGCAGCAACGGACGGGGTTCCCTTCCAAAAGGGTAGGTTAGCGGTAAAAAGGCAGGCAAGCACCAAATACCCGCAGTCATAGAAACAAGATCGAGGTATGTAATAGCAAGGAGAAACAGAAGCTATATTGGGGTATAAGAAGGGGGCTGAAAGGCGAGAATTGATATATAGGGGAAAAAAAAATTGAGCCACCTTTGGCAAAGTAGGGTAGGAAGGAACGAATGGCCATCGGTCCAGTGGGAACAATGCTCCGTCCTCTCGAGGACGCGTGGTCAATGTTCTAACAACTCAGGCATGTAAAACATGGGCACACCCCCCCCCCCCCCCCCCGAGAGTACCTCACGGCGCTTCGCCCTTGGTGGTGTGCGATTGTAGCCTGGTCCGGTGAAAACCCGGCCTGCTCCGGCTTTGCAGGGAGGCGACGTCTAACGACTACGGAGTGCACGGCTATGAGTACCCTCCCGTCCGTCTTTCCGACCGTCCGCTGCTCCCCACGTTAAGGTTGCGGCAGGAGCTGCCGTCGCCGGGCGGTGGGAGACACACGGGCGTCCGCTCGTGCTCCGGATGGGTTCGTTAGGGGTGCCCGAGGGGGACGTGAGCTCCTGGACTGCGGTGCTGCTGCCGTTGAGCCGGCTGGGCTGCGCCGACGAGTGTCTCGAGGTGAAGGTCGTGTTGGTTCTGGCTGTTGATGTTGCTGCTGCTGTTGCTGCTGCTGCAAATGCTTCTGCTGCTGGTGCGGATGCTTCTGCTGCGCCTGCTGCAAATGTTGTTGCTGCTACAAGGTTGCTGCTGCTGCAGTTGCAAATGCTGCAACGAGTGGGGATGCTGCTTGTGTGTGGAGGGTTGGTGTTCTGTCGAGTAGATGGTCGAGAAAAGTGTTTTTTATTTGTCGTACCCATGGGACGACGACACGAGTTTTCTTGTTTTCTTCATCGGTACTGTGATGAAATTTTGGGCGGATACGAAGGATCATTGGATAGATGGTCGTTTTTCGTCGTGCCGTCTCATGCAAGAAGCTTCTTTTGAGTCATTATTTCGAGCGCTTGAGAAGCGCAACACCGAAAACTTTCAAGATCGGAACGAATCTCTTTGTTCTACAGGATGGCCGCCGAAATTTTGCGCTAGCGATCCCCGTGTAAGGCCGCATCAAACTGTGTACAGACTTGTAAAATGTTTTGGTTCGTTGGGGTTCCCTGGGCTCTCTAGGGAGTCAAAAACACGTCAGTTTGTGCGAGCTTTTGAGCATGGGAAACATCGTACTGCAGGGTGGCAGCCATCTGTGGGTTGGTTTGTTGTTGTTTCCATCTTGCGTCACCGCTCGATGACACTGCTTTTCTCTCATGAGCTCACTTGAGTAGGGATCACTTATTGTGCCGAGTGATTGGTCCGCCTTCTGCCGAAGATTCAGATTACAGTATGAGACAATAGCGGATGGAGCGTACGGTAAAACCGAATCCCGTTCGCCTTCCAACCAGGCAACCAACAAACTCGCTCAGGCATGGCTTGGGAAAACGCACGCATTTTTCTGTATTACGATGCAATTTTTCTCCTTTCATTCACGTATCGCGTTTGTTTCTTTTTTTTTGTTCCTCCCACTCCGGAAGGTGTTGGAGATCATGGAGGGTGCGGTCGGCCTGACCACCGCCACCGCTGCTGCTACCCCTGGCGTACCCCACAGCGGCGGAAGAAACGGAAGCGCCGCTCCCACCGGTGAAGAGAAACACGCCCTCGGCGTGGCCCCGCGCGAGCACGGTGAGGGTCGAAGACAAGGCGAGAGGAGTGCGTGCGGTGGTTGTGGTGTGTGATGATGCGTCGTGTGTTTGTGTGTGTCTTTATTATTATTTGTGTCGACCGCGCTAACCGGCTGACCAATGAAAATACGTCAGTCTCAGTGCGGTTGAAAACACAAGACACTTCGTGTGTGTGTGTGTGTTTGATTGTTGGCATCGACCGCACTGAGCAATGAAAACGTCAGTCTTTTCAGTGTGGTAGAAAGTGCTTTTGAGGGCCATGGTCTGGGAACCCGCGAGGGGGCGTCTTGCGTCTTGGGGGAGGCTACGCCACTCTCCGGATTGGAGGACAGAAACGGTAGCAACGTGTGTTGGGACGGCTCTTGAGTGGCTGTGTAAGTCGATAAATCATTGTTCCTCGTCTTTTTCTTTTCTTTTCTTCCTTTACCGGGAATCCGCTCCTTGGCCTCAACGTCGAGGAGGGAAGAGAAACTCGTTCGTTTTCCTTTGCATGCTTTCATACACACTGTGCCGTGTAATGGTTTGAGTTGATGCGACGTGTACCCCCCCCCCCTCCCTCGGACTCCTGTTTCTCCTCATCGGAGTGCTCCTGTACTTTCATCGTTTTGTCAACAATGGCGTGGAACTATCCCGGTGATTCTTGTTCGTTTTTCTGCATACTGCTGTGTACCCGTTTTTTTTGTTTTTGGCAGGCATGGATTTTTTCCACGGCCTTGACCGGAGGAACGAGCTGCTGACAGTGGCGCACAACCACTGCATGTTTGCCTTCATCAAGGCCGGCAGGTAAATAGAACAGACGCTCGATTCAGCCACGGCGACGGAGATGCCAACATCAAAATTAGACGTTTTCAACAAAGTGCCTGTTCCAACGCCGCCGTTTTCGGCAACATCACTGCTGTTGTTGGTGAAGAGAAATCGAGCATTGGTCCAGGGTGTGTGCTATAATCTGCGACCCACGGTAGCCCGCGCTTGACGCTTTGAACCCACTATGAACAAGGTGAATATTTTCACGCCGGTTTGCGGGGGATTGGGAAAAGGACGGGCGGGTGAGGAATCATGTAGCCTCCGAGTTGCAATGGCTCTTGTTGGCGTTTAGGGTATGGAGAGGCCGGCGGGGTGAGTGTACAGCAGGCATGGATGGAGATACTGCG